GATCATGTCCGGAAACACTTGTTGGATGGCCTCGAAAGTTGTTCCTTCGGTGATGATTCGTTTGCCAACTCGAGGAGCTATCTCTTCGCATTGACCGAGCAAAGCTTCAAGCAATGGTCGAGGGTCCACTTTCCGGAGTGGCTCATACAGTGTCTCGGCCGGAGATTTGGTTTGGAGTCGTCGGCGTTTGGCCTCCGGCTCCCCTGACGGGTTGTCGCCAGTGACGTGGCACAGGTCATGGACTTTGTGATCATGCTGTTCTTGGACTTGCAGACTGCAACGAATGATTCGGCTAAGGTGTCGGGCGAACACATGAGTGTAGTTTTCAGTGTACTTGCTGAGTGACTGTCTACCCCCTTTGGGTGTCCAGCATGTCCCTGCGATGAGTCCATGTGCGTGCGTTCCGGTGCATTGCAACTGTTCCAGTCGGGCGGACATAATGGATGATGTGGTCCAAACTTGCGTGCGTTTCCGCAAAAGTTCTAGGCTATTTGGGTGTCTCAGTGTGCCAGCAACGCACATGTCACAAAGAACCCTATGGGTTGTCTCGAGTACTGGCTTCATTTCATGTTGATAGATGAGCTCTGATCCCTGGGGTTGTTCTAAGTTGAAATGGAAAGAAAGTCCACGCCACTGCTGCAGAACGCACAGAGCTGAGCAGAGCCGCAAATGGACGTTCTCTCCAAAATCCGCTGTGCGAGTTCTTGCGACTTCATGAGATTTAGACGGCTCCAACTGCACCAGGGACCACATTTTGGGGATACCCAGATATGTTTGGGTCGTTTCCTCCACAGTTGGTCGTACAGTGCACAGCGACCGGCGAACGTCGAAAGGTCACCCTGGCGTAGTCCGAAACGACTGGCAACCAATCCGCTCTTGTCCGCGGCTTGTGTCAAAGCACTATCTGGTGAACAATAAACTTCAAGAAGATCAATCCCTGGTCGAAGGAGGTGTTTTCTTTGTTCATGAAGATCTGGAACCCCGAATTTCTGTTTCCAATACTGATGCATTTCAAACAAAAAGAGATTGGGTGGATCTTCTTGGTTCAGGATAATTTCCCAGGTATGAGCCGAATCCGGTCCACTTGTGGCAGTGTCAGTCGTGACTGCCGCTTTGCACAGAGCTTCACACAGTTGCAATCGATCTATCGCCGGAGTGACCTGGAGAACCGATGTGTCTGGCGAATGCTCTATTGCAGTGTTGGCTCCACATTCAGATGGGCTGTCAGAAACTGCAACTGCTGCGCGATCTGGGACAAGGCACCCTCGATGTTGGAGATCCGGTCGTTCTGATGCGCTGTCTCTTCCTTCAGCATTTCCCACGCTTCGCTCCGAGGAGTGGCGCATGGTGATGAATGGGCGTCTTCTCCTTGGGTTCTGGATATGCGGCAGTCTTTGGTGCTGCCTTGGATTTCGACATTGCTCCCGGGGTTGCAGTGTTTGTCCCCGTTGAATCGGATTTGTTCCGCCGTTCCAGATCTTCCGTGTAGAGCTGCACATAGCGGATGAATTTCTGATGTGGCGTCTTGTCCGAGTTCTTGTAAGTCGAAGTGAACCAAGCCACATACTGGGGATCGTCCCGGACTACTTCGCTGTAGTGCAGTCCTTTCTTTTCTTTCCCGAAGGTGATCTGCTGATGGCCGAGTTCCTCCATCGTCATGCGCATGAATTCTTCCTTGGCCGTCCGGTCCAGGTTGTGACGGAGTGCCGCCTGGAAGAGATCGGTCAGGACTGCGGGCGTCAACACTGTCACTCGAACCCAAGCTCGAAGTCATGGGTTGGGCTTCCGACTGAGTGCACCTCTGATTGGCTGAAGGCTCAACGCACGAACCGGTATCGAGGTCTTTCATACCTAGGAGTAGTCAGGTTTGACGTTTCGTTTGGTGAACAATTCGACTGAGTGCTGAGCGTGCAGAACAGCGTGTTTCTCAGGGCTCGGATTTGTCTGGTTCGAATGGCCTCGATTGGCCTGGGCCACAAGACTGCAAAAGTCTAGGAGAAACAGTTGTCGGTCAGTCAAAGTCAGCGGCGGCGAGTATATACTTTTTTTGTCGGTGACCGGTGACCGGGCCGGAGACCGGTGACCGGGCCGGGACCGGGCCGGGCCGGAGACCGGATCGGAGACCGGGACGGAGACCGGGCCGGAGACCGGACCGGAGACGGACCAGTGACCGGGCCGGAGAGCGGTGACCGGGCCGGGGACCGGGCCGGAGACCGCGCCGGAGACCGGACCGGAGACGGACCAGTGACCAGGCCGGAGAGCGGTGACCGGGCCGGGGACCGGACCGGTGACCAGGCCGAAGACCGGCGACCGAGAAGGAAGTGGTCACTCCAACTTGACTTACTCTTTTGCGGGCAATGCAGTGGGAAAATTTAGACAAGGAAGTGGCCCTTCCAACTTCACTCACCCTTTTGTGGGCCATGCAGGGGTAAAACTTAGAGAAGGGTGTTGCCCAAGTTGACTCACCCTTTGGTGGGCCATGCAGGTGTAAAATTTAGAAAAGGAGGTTGCCATTTCAACTTGACTTACCCCTTTGTCACCCTTTTGTGGTTAATGCAGGGTAAACTTTAAAGAAGGATGTCGCCATTTCAACTTGACTCACCCTTCTGTGGGCAAGGCAGGGATAAAATTTAAAGAAGGAAGTGGCCCTCAACTTGACCCACCCTTTTGTGGGCCATGCAAGGGCAACGCAGGGGTAGAATTTAGAGAAGGATGTGGCCTTTTCAACTTGACTCACCCTTTATGTGGGCAAAGCAGGGGTAAAATTTAGACAAGGAAGTGGCCCTTCCAACTTGACTCACCCTTTTGTGGGCCATGCAGGGGTAAAATTTAGAGAAGGATGTTGCCCAAGTTGAGTCACCCTTTGGTGGGCCATGTAGGGGTAAAATTTAGAGAAGGAGGTTGCCATTTCAACTTGACTTACCCCTTTGTGTGGGCAATGCAGGGGTAAAATTTAGAGAAAGGAGTGGTCATTTCAACTTCACTCACCCTTTTGTGGGCAATGCAAGGGTAAAATTTTAAGAAAGATGTTGCATGGATAAAAAACAATTGTTGACTGGTTGGCCGGCGTTGGGGGGGGCGGTGACCGGGCCGGAGACCGGGCCGGTGACCGGTGATTGGGCCGGTGACCGGGCCGGAGACCGGGCCGGAGACCGGACCGGAGATCGGACCGTGACCGGGCTGGGCCGGCGACCGGAGACCGGGCCGGAGACCGGACCGGTGACCGGGCCGGTGACCGTGACCGGGCCGGTGACCGGAAAACAAAAAAGTATATTATGTCAGCGGCATGGTCAAAGCCAGCTTGGGAAAACGGATCAGAGCCTGCTCAGTGTCAATGACGGCTCCAAGCTTGCGAAAAACATTATTGGATATCAAGAAAGGCGTCTGTGATGGAACGACACACAGCTTGACAAACCAATGAGCAAGCGGAATTGAATAAGCAAAAGTGCAAGTGACCGTGCTGTTGTTGCCAAAACGAAACACTGTATTGCAATCTATCTTTCGAACTTGGTTTCGAATCTCTTTGGGTAGTTCTTGGAGTAGTTCATGAACATGGCCAATCACGGTCTGGCTCGCCCCTAGGTCTACAATGCCACAGAACCATGCTGCGCGAACAAAGCTTCCTGCTCGAGCGGCTTTCGATCAGGAGACTCGGAGTCAGGGGGCTCTCACTGGGTTGTGGTGTTCTCAACAAATGCTTCAGGCTGCTTGTGAGCCTTTGCGCATGCTGACGGATAGGGTTCATGGCCTTCCCCCAAACACTATTCCCATCCCCTAAGTCCCCCTTAGAGGTTTGCATAGTGTCAACACAAAAAACTGACTGGCCATGTGAACAAGGAGCAACGAACTCATCCACCTCACACATCAAAATCATGTCGTCGCTCTCCTTCAGCATGCCTGCAGCATGAACGGTTCCAGCGAAGGCCGCATTGGTGGGCTTGGCTTCATTCTCAAAGCGTCGCGGGCACTCGGCTTTCCAATGCCCTTTCTGTCCGCGCCGTCGACATTCCGATTCAAGAATTCGTTGAGCCAGCGGTCTGCGGGACTTGCCAAAACCTTTGGAGAACCCGAACTTGGTTTTGCTCTTCCCTTTTCCCGATCCCTTCACGGGCCAAAAGCCACGGTTCTTGTTCCGTTCGGTGATGCGTTTCCTGGCCTCCAAGTAGGAGTAAAAACACTGTGCTGTCTCGGGGTCATTCTGGAGCACGTCCACCAAGCTGTCTTCAAACTGTTGGATCACTAGGGCATCTTGCTCGTTCTCTTCGGACAGGAGCAGGATGTCATCGTACCAATGGTCCGGAAACACGGCGTCATCATCTCCCAAGGTTGAGGGAGGTTCATCTTCTTCCATGACATTGGCTGCTTCATACGTTTTGGTCCGAGTTGAGCTCTTGCCGGATGATTGGCATTCTGTAAAGAACCTCGAAACCAAAACTTTCAATGCAGCCACAACTTTTCCATATTCAAGCTGTCCATCAGAGTCTATGATGATCTTCTTCTTTTCGTCCATGAGCAGTCCGGAGTTGCGCAACAAACAATATGCTCGCATTTCATCGATCGTCACACGCAATGCCGCCAGTTCTTCGAATTGGAAATCGTGCCTAGCAAGATACGATTCGTGAGTTTCGTCGGGCCGCTGGACAGTTGAGTAGATGGCTCGCTCAAAACGCTCGAACTTTTCCTCGTGTTTTGCTTTCCCCCATACTCCACCAAGGGTGGATACCAACAATTTGATGCCGTCCAAACTGTTCACCTTCAACTTTTTGGCGTCAACTCTCATCAACCGTTTGAATGCTCCACCTTCGCAAAGCATCGCCGCTCTCGGGGCCAAATGAGAAAGGTGTTCTGTAGGCCAGAGATCGGCCAAAAACTCGAGGCGTTTGGTGTACTCGTTGATGTCAGTTTCTCCGGGTTTGAATGCTGGTATCATACCCCAGGGTAAATGGGACAACGAACTCGATGCCATGCCGCCACCAGTGCTAGCTGAAGGGCCTCCACTTTCAGGCATCCTGGATCAAGCTCGACTTCCGCAGCAAAAGGTGCAAACGAATCTTCCTGCGGTCGGCGGTAGCTCCGCTACCAATGTGGAATCCAAGGTGGATCCACACTGGTAGCGACTCAACGGTGACCACACCGTTTCCCCAAACCACTCGCGCTCCCCAGCGCCAGCTTTTCCTCTTCTCTGGCCTTGGTCTCGATCTGGTGTCCTCACCAGTAGTAGCGCGAACCGTGGGAGTGTCCTCACTCCACAAGCATGGCGGCGCCGCCAGGCACGTCCTGAGCCCCCTGACTTTGGGCCAGACCGAGCGGACGGTGGACAAACCTTCATGCAAGTTCCAAGGTGCAAGACAGAATTCACAATGTATGTATATATGTATAGGTGTCTCCATATTCAAGCCAGCGCCTCCCGTCCCAGCTGCACCTAAACCGGCAAGTTGATGTTCATGGTGCAAAGAGTGCTTAAAGTACTCCTAATCACTGCAAAGCAGAAAGCACATTTGGCCTGCAAAGCAGACATCAGGAACTCGATATTTTCGCTGGTCTCCAGCAAGTCCTCCACACTCCAGTGAGGACTGAGAAGAGTACAACTTCTCTTATCTCAATATTATCAATGCTGAGAACTGAGAAGTTATCTACAGTAATTACCCTCACCTCATCTGGATTCAGCCACCATCCTTCGGGCCTGACACAACTGCAGCTTTCAGCACTGAACATAAGCACCGTGCAATTGCTTCAGTGGCCTCACTTCAAGAAGGGGCGATGCCAAGCAACGAGCAATGGCCTCATGTACCTGAATTTTGTGGGCCATGCCTTCATGCCGGTGGTTGGATGGGTAAACTGAAAAAAGACATTGCCAAAGCACCCAAGCAAGCCGGCTGACAACCCCAATAGCAAATCATTACGCGGGAGGTCATGCACCTACCAGCCACTGCGTCGCCGGCCGAAGTTGACCCCACGGTTCCAGACCGAAGAGTTTACAATCCAGAAATCAATGTTTGAGGCACGCGTTGCTCAGCATCTCCTGGCGCATCTAGCCACTGGTTCAGGGACAAAGACCTTTCACAAAATTAAAAGTAAAGCATTGCTTCTCAAAAATAGACAAATTCCAAATGAATTGTGCGTTGGGCCGTTTGCACTTGGAGGTCTGAGGACATGGCCAACTGGAGGTGCACTCAACCTGGCAGCAAAATGAAGGCTACAATGTGGCCTCTGCAAATACACCAGCATAAATGCTTCAATAGAGTTAACGACGCATTAATTGCTTAATTCTGGGTGGAACTGTAGGTCTGACCATCTATGGAAACATTGCGACTTGAGGCTGCAGCTGCATGAAACCAATGTCTGGGAATGACCAAGACGTCCTCGAATGCACAGTTCTTTGGAATCTGCTCCAAACCTCGACATCCAAAAGGAGTCTCTCATTCGGGATGCCCCACTCCAGGATGCAATGTGGTCCGAAGGCCAGTGAACCTCTCCGAGAGATTAGAAGTCCATAAATTGAATCCCTATCAGAAGTCCGTTGAGGAACCAAATTAATACAAATTACAGTAAGTTAAGTTATATATATATGATATGGTTTATCCACATTAAATTAACATAAATTAACCAAGTGAAAACTTCAAAGTTTCTCCTCGCCGGGTTTCCATGAAGAACCCGAGCCCTTCTGCGCCCGTAGTAATGCAGACTACAACATGTTCTTATCCCTATACACAAACTAAATATCTACAAATATCTATACAACTTGTTTATCTACTATATCACTATATACCTTACCTATTATACCTTATCTAAACATATCTAAACCCTCTTTTAAGTTCCTTTAGCCAAAAACAATTTTTTTTCCTTATAGAAGTTTGGTTTCACTGATGGTTTTTATGACTTTGACGTCCTTGGGGCCCTCACCTTTGTGGGATCTCCTCTTCCAAAGGATCCAAGTCGGTGAAAGTCGATGAGTCCTCAAAAGAAGATGGAGTGAAATAGCACCTTTCCAAGTTTCCAAATCATGAAATAGGAAGATGGAGTGAGTGCAAAACTGCCACGCTCCTCAAAAGGAAGGCGGTGCCCACCAAGCCATGAACTTGAAGGGTCAAAAAGCAGCCTGGCGCACGCACAGCCCGCTTCAGGCGCAAGAATCACGGTTCTTTTTCAATGAAGTCAAATGAGTAGCTTTGATGGCAAGTGCTGTCTATTAAGGGTTCATTGACTTCGATTGCTCTTTTGCCGCCAGCAAGCAAAGAAACCAGCATGTTGCACACGCTGGTGACATCAAAGGATGTCAAGGTCCGTGAAACTAAACGCTCTTCCGGAAACGTGAAACTAAACGCTCTTCCGGAAACAACACAAATAACAGAAGTGCAAAGTTGCTGCAGGGCCACGCCGGGCACTACGGTGAAAATCGTCAAGCGGGCGGGCTGCAAACGATTGTACTGAGGGAAGCATGGTGCTTTGTGAAATGCGTTTTCAAAGTGGGGCGGCTTAGGTCACAAGCACCGAAAGAATGCCACACACATCTTTTTGACAAGAGTGACCAAGTCCTCCTGCCGTCCTGTAGCCAGAAGCTTTCCAGCCAGGCACACCCCGCCCAAGCGCGCGCATCTTCTTAACAACAGTGACCAAATCCTCCTGCCGCCTTTTCCGCCTACACAGTATACCCAAATCCAGTCAGGAGGCCCCACCTTCCAAAAAACGCGCGGTTCTGCTTTCTAGCCTCAAACTTCCCCCCTTCTTGGCCAAATGCCAAAAGCTTTAAACTATATATTTACATCCACGTTTTTCTTCTCATAGGACCCTGAGCACCGCCCCTTTTTGGATCTCGGGCCCCCTTATCAATCATCAAAACTATTGTTTTATAGGCGGTCATCAACTTTGGAGACACCATGGCCACTGTTGATGATTGAAGGGCTTGGATGTGTAAGGGGGGCCCAGATCCAAGAACCGGCCCACATGGTACGGTTGCTCTTGGTCTTTCGCTTGCGCCTCTTTAGCTCCTGTCACGTAGAAAGACCCACGATGGAACGGTTTATGGACGGTTCGTAAGTCGTGGTCGGGCCCATCTGTCTCTTCCCTGTGGTGCCCAAGTCAGTGAGGGTGCTCAGGGTCTTATTGTCAGGGCGCTGGATTCTTCGTAATCAAGGATATTCAATTTCTGAGGGCAGTGGCAGTGAGGAAGTCCTCACATCGCTCATCTGGGCAGAACTTCTTCTCTTTGTGTCTTTTGACCTCATTGAACATATTGAACAACTCCTCACTGCCCTGCAGCAACTTGCCCATAGCGTACCACTTGAAATCCTCCTCCTTCGGGCTCTCTCAGACCCTCAAAGTCTACAAGCTTCTCAGTGGTCAGCCACTGCTCCATGTACCTTCTCAATGCGTCTGCCAGCTCAATGACTAAGAGGGTGATTGGGTACTTCGTAGATAGATCCTTCTTGACCGGTTGTCTGTAAAGGCCTCCGTTTTCGCCTCAGAACCTTCGAGCCACAACTTCAACGCAGCCAAGGTCGTGAAGTGAGACAGCAGGATCTAGCAAGGAAGGAGTTGTCAATCTGCATCAATAGCAGGGACCACTCAATTGGTCAATCCACCAGTTGAAGATCTCAAAATAGGAGGAGCTGAGACCCACTATGGGTTTGCTGAAAGTTTACGCTAAACCCCCAAACCCTCACAAAGGAGGACATCCAGAGAAAAAATTGCTCAGAGTTTGGGGGCTTTCTTTCTTGTAGAACAATATAAGGGTGACATCTTTGAGCCAAGCACTTGAAAAGGCTCGAATGAGAAGGACTGAAAAGGTCAGGAGTTTGTCGTGGTAGCACCCTTTTAGTTGTGGGAATATGTAGAACATCGTTTGATCGTTTGTTTACTTGACTCTGTATCTGGCTGTTTGGCTGATCCGTCCTCTGAGTCACGCCTGGGTATCTGCACTTCCTTCTCAAGCGTTCAAGTTACACTGACGGGACGGATTTGCTTCGTTTGGCTTTGCAATTTGTTTGGAAGGACTGTGCTTGCACTGGTTTGAGGAAAATATTAAGTTCAAGCTTCTGTTAAGCATGCTGTGCACACCAAAGCTTTTCGCCAGCGATCTGTGCGACGATGTTGTGTCCATACGCATCTTGATGGCACCTGATGAATTCCAAATGGTGGATGGTGAAACTGATGTTGTGCAACAGGTACAAATGCAGCGAATGATACGTTTCAAATCCGGAAACGTAAACCCAAGCATCAATCCATTGGACCCTTTTCCCCTCTGAGTGTGCTCGCTGTACACATTGGGTCAATTTAGGTCACGCCTTAAGCGTGAGCCCCTAGGTCCTGACCGGCATTGGCTGGGCCAAAGGCCCCACCATCTTTGTGCGTCGGTTCATCAATGTTCATCGTATTTTCCGTTTGGGAGAATTGGCAGCCTCAGTGCTGCTTTTAGAAACTTTCATCGTGAATGTTCAAGCAAGCAATAAATGAAACCAATCGGGAAAACTGCGGCCAAGATGCTGATCTGGGACTGGACTCGCTTTCGGTTCTTGGACTAGTCATTGATCTGGGGCTCGCTGGGCTGGTCTTAGCAAGCATATGCATGAAGCTGCAGTCTTGGGAAGCTGCACTAATTTAAAAAAGTGGCTGGCGACTGTGGCATATACGGATTCTCCTGATGGAAATGGAAAATGCAAATCTTGAAAGCAGGCTCAAGCATTGCAGCGATCCTGATCATCCGGAGCATATCCAAAATAATCTGTACCGTAGCACTCCAGGAAGCATGCCTCACACAAACCTTGGTTTCTGTGTCCACAGTGCGAAGAGGTGGAAAATGGTTGTGCCAATTGCCGCTCAGTGCACATCCGTGGTGATGGCCTTTCGTCGCGGTCAGCTTGTGAAGCAAAGAGGCCTTGAAGCAAAATACAAAATGTCGACTTTCAAGAATTTCATTCTAGGCCTGATGCTGGTGATGCTGCTAGCATTTTCTCGCACCACAAAGGCTCTCCACAAAAGAAAAAACAATGAGGCACCCTTCTATGACTCACCTCATTCGCAGAAACTAAATTCCTCGCACTAGTATCCTACAGTACCGGCACTTTTGCAATTGTTCTGACAATCCATGAGCAGGAACTTTAAAACCTCGCTTGTGTCTGTTCCTGCATCGCCCCATGGAAGCATTGTGTTCCGAGACCCCTTTCGCTGAGAAGCCTTGACAGTCATCTCGTCGCCATTCTTTTCAAGTGCTATAGTGATAATGCCCTGCTTCTTGCCTTGCGAGAGATCGCAAAATCCCTCCTGAGACTTGCTGTAAGATTACATTCAGTTCAACCAATCAACACATGTATGTACAAAACTGAACAAATTGTTACTATTGTCAATACCTGAGTCAAACGCTCTTTACCAAAACCTCCAGAAAGCACCAGGCACCTGGGCCCATGACTTTTCCAGTGGTCACATCCAAATCCTTGGTGAACGATGTAATAACTGTTGGATCCCACAACTTGTGCCTCTGCTCCCTTCCTTACATGAGGTTCCCGGGCTCCATCTCCCGAATCAAACCCGCCCTGATTCCGCCAGCCCGTCATTGCAACGTTGCCAAATACTCTACCCAGCCGGGTTGATTCTGTATCTAATAGACACCACCATGTTGGGCACGTGTATTGGCTCGAGAAAATTACCACAGCTACACATGTTGCAGCGACCATCAAATAGACTCTAGCTGCTTTGATGGGCCACTCGCAAGTTCGCTGTGTGAATGGTTATACTGAGACATGCATTCATCCTTGGGACAAGCATATCATACTTTTTATGACATGACAATGACTACTGGCAGGATCAACCAGGTTTCAACCTCACGCTCACCTCACTTCACTCCGACGTGGTGTGCGCTGAGATAGCTGCCTGACTGGAGATTGAATGTCGCTCGTCTCCAGTCATCACATCCAGCCCAGAATCATAAGAACTGTATAAAGTAAACCTAGCATGATAAGCAATTGCCGTCCCTACTAAGGCTTCATTTGTAGGTTGCCCTTGTTTTTTGCTCGCGCTTGTAAGCACTTCCCATCTTCCCATGCATCATGCAGCAAACCCTCGCTCCGCGTACATATATATATATATTCATAATATAATACAAATATGATGTTTAAAAAAATAGAAACATATATATATATACTATACACAATACATCCATTTGGTCCAAGAGGCATCCTTGAGAAGAGATGCTCCTGACAACTCCTAAGCAGGAAAAAGCAAATGCATTGGCCTTTCATGCTTGCAAAAAAAGGGGCCCAATAAACTCTAGAATCTAGAAGTCAAAGCGAAAGCAAGTAGAACGACTACAAGACTCCAGCGCTGGGAGTACAGAGTTCAACCTACTGCAGATCGAATTTGAAGAGTGCTTTTGGGCTTTATGATGATGGTTCTTGGGCCAATGGGTTTATGGTCATTTGGTGTCATGGTCATTTATCCAGTTCCAGCTGCACTAAGTCTTATGATTTGATGTAATTGTTTCAATGTGCAACGCTGCGCTAGCAATATCAAAAGCCATGCTCAGAGCGTCTGAAAGAAGCCGGCATTTTAGCCGCACGCGATCTCCAATGGCAAAGCCACAAAGGCGAGGGTCGTGTTCTTCTGCTGGCTTCCTGGATGGAGCAAACAGGCAAACAGGCGTGCCATGTGGAATCAAAGTAGAACCTCAGCCAAGTGTCTGCTCTTGACTATCGTTCTCCTCCTTAAGAATCTGGTAGAACTCCTCAGCTGCCCGTTCACACTTTGGGAATCACAATATCTCACATACAACTGCATGGCATTCACTGTCTCCTGACACCACTGGAAAATCAGGAAACTCATTTCACACTGCGAGTCTCCGAAAAATCAATGCTGCCAGATCCATCAGCATCAAAGCAACGGAGCACTCCATCCAATTCAGCGGGTGACAGTGGACAGCCCAAACGCCTAAGCCATGGGCACAAAAGCTATTAGTTCCAAGAAGATGTCAACATCAGCCCAACGGATGTGCTCTACAAAGCCTCCAAAGAGTGTGTTTGTCTCCAGAATCCCAAAATGTGCAAAACAATTTCCTTTAAAAAAATGTCACCTGGGTGGGGATTTAGAAGTTCTGGACCTCTTGGTGTTGCAAACTTGTTGATGTTGAGCATTCGGGGTCCCAAAATGCCGACACCCAGCATGCCTCAGCGCAGTTGCCATTTCACCCCTGGTGAGGATGCCATCACCGTTCTGCAGAAGATTCGACGCTTTGAGGAGATTCCGACTCTTTCAACAAGCGTGGACACAGCTCAACTTGTATGAATAGTGAATACAAATGATTGAATGTAGAATACTGTCCAGTGGAGAAGCAAGCGGTGGCTAGCCTGGTCAATCTCGTGGAAGAGTTCGATTTCAGAGAGACCCTGTTCCTGTCAGGACAGGAGCAATGGTCGGAGCACACATAAGAGAACTGCTTTGATTACGAAAAAAAAATATGACTTACACAGCAACTCTGGGGGCAGTTTTGACCGAAGCTGGTCCCTCAGCAGTCCCCTGCATTGCCACATGCAACATTACACAGACCTTTCTACTTGACATCTGGTTCACCCCGAAAATTTGGACTCCATCCAACTTACGAGTAGTGAAGACAACAATCCTCCAAGGCTTATTGGTACTGGGTGCACCGTGTGTTTGTCCGACTTGATAATGCACCTGTTACTGTGGTCACAACACTTCTCTCCTCGATGTGCATTATCAAGCCTCGGATGATTCGGTGAAGCTGCTGCAAAACAAGAGGTCGCCGCTAAACTGCTGCTAGCCAGTGATCCGAGTCATCCAGAATGCTCAAGCAGCATCCAAACCGATACTCCATCCAAGATGCTCAAGAGGGCTTGTTTCAACGGCGATTTAGATCTTATCTCATCCAGCTTCCTCGGTCTTTCTGCAATTGGGCGTTCACTTGGATTTTGAGTCCCTTTCCCTCTGTGCTTTGTCAACAAGAGTCTCAAGACCTTTAATTGTAACGTTTATCTAGTTGTGGCGTCTACGACGATGACACCCGTTGCCTTGAAGCCGTCTCGTGTGCTTACCTATTTCAGCATTGCTTTGGAGCGTAAATATGCATCGCCTGCGATGATATCCTGCGATCAACAAAGCCAGTCCAAGATCTCACTGACCAACAACAGGAGATTACAGTACACTCGACCAGATTTTGCCACATCCGCATGACCCTGGTGGACATTGACAGCCAGAGCGGCTGCTGATACAGCAATACGCGTTGTTGCAACATGTTCACATGTTAAAACATGTTAAAAACAAGTTACGCCAGCATAGACCCCAGATAGCCAACAATGTTTGTGCCTGCACGTGGAAAACCGCACGTGTAGTCGTGCCGTTATTCCAAGATCCAGGATCCATGGGTTTATTGCTTTTTGTCGATTTTTTATTTTTGCCTATTCGTTCGGCTCCAGTTTGCAGCCTTCATGGAAGCGCTGTGCGCTGTGCGCGGCTCTTGCCTTAGTGTTGCGGCTGGGCGGTTTGCGCACTGTTCACAGCGACCTGTCTTCATTCTGACTTTGCCCTTGGCTCGACATGCAAGATCACCGTTTGGGTCTTGATCGGCATTTGGTGTATGAGTTTGTGAATGCTTGTGAAGGATGTTATTCCGCTGGTTCATAAGATATATTTGATGGATATCGTTTGTGGAAGATCTTCATGGCTGAACGTTGGTGTTCACTTGCTGTGGTCAATGGCCATCAAATTGCAGGGACTGACGGCGAAGACACTGCGATTAAGGTGAGAAAAACAATGCAACCGTGTTGCGACGCACCTTCCAGATGAAGTGATTGATTACGCTGGTTTCAGAAAATGAGATCTCATTTCAGGCATCGCGAAACATGTTTTATACGGCAAATCCCAGAAGAATTGCACAATGCCATGGAAATGCAATCATTACCTGTGTCCAACCTAAAAAGACACTAGAAAAAAAAAACAAACAAAAACAAATTTCAGTGACAGAGACAAAGACAAGAGACAGTACAGGTTCGGACATCCACGCGGCGGGATGTTTGGGGCAGCGGCAGAGCGCACATGGCCACTGCAGTGGCACCCGCACACACCCTCCAAAAGCAAACACTGCCATCAACATTTGGCAGCAGTACCCTGCAGCGCCCAGGCTGCACCGGCACCCCGCAGCACCCTGCAACGGCACCGGCAACCACGCTCCAAAGCCTCCAAAGCGCACGCTGCCATCAACATCTGGCATGGGCACCCTGCAGCAGCACTAGCACACAGCCGTAGACATCTGGCAGCAACACCCGGCAGGCAGCCTGCAGGGGCACCAGCATCCAAGCTCCAAAGCACACACAGCAGGGTAGTTGGAGGAGTTGTCTCTTTTCAATCCCTGTCTTTGGAGTAGGTGTTGGCACGAAGTCAGTTGCAAACGATCTACAAGACAACAAGTCAAAAGCAGCACTTTGGACCTGGATCAAGGGAAAGGACTGACCAACTCAATTGTAACAACTGACTCAACAAGCATCTGGTGAGCAGCATGCCAATGGAGACCAAGCTGGCTTGCTTAGCAATGTGCAGTGACCGATGACTTTACAGGGTGCAGGCTGGGCAGTAACGGTTCAAGGCACACAGGAGCGTTTCCTCGATTGGGTGCTTAGAACTCTGTTTCATCTTGCTTTCTGTTTCATCTGTGCAAAACTGACTCCCAACTTGTAGGTAACAAAATACCGGCAATGAAAACTGAACCAAGAGTCTCTTGCCGCGCTGCTAGTAGTCTCTCTGCTTGGATCTCTGCCGGTGTTTTTTGATCTTTTCTCTTTTGGGCTTTGTCCCTTGGCAACGTGACTGCTTCTACATTAAGAAGAACTGTTGCATGCCCTTCTACGCCGTTCTTGGCCAAGTAACAACTGCTTTTGGGCTTTCTCGGCATACCTCGAGCGTTACTGACAAACATGCGAAAACGGCACCAAGAAAGCTGCAAGCTTCAAGTTGAAGCAAAATTGCAGTAACTCAGTGGTATATATGTTCTCGGACAATTGCAAACACGCAGCCGGCTCTTCTGAACGTTGCAGGGTGGTTCCCCCTTGTAGTTGTTCTCTTTCCAGCAGATCTCACAGCCATCTGCAAACCCCTCGGTGGCAGGCAGCAATTGGAACAAGGGCAAGAACATGTCGATGTAGACTCAGAACAAGATTCAGAGAGGGGTCACCTATGCAAATTCCTTCCATGGCACCCCTCCAGGAAGCAAAAGGGTTTGAATCGGACCGCCGCCTCAGCACGAAATGTGTCTCTTTTGCTTGGCTTTCAAGTTGTAATTGATAGCTGAAAGTTTTTGATTCGATATTTAGTCTCTTAGTTGATAGTTCTCGACAGGACTGAAGATAGGTCTCGGTCACCTGCAGTCGAGGCATACGTTCCTCTTTGGTTGTGCCTTTTTGCGCGGTCGCCGTGCCTGAGGGAACCAATATGAAGCATGGAAGAATGACCGTATTCTCTCACAAACTTGAAGTGTAAGAACCAAAAGCTGCAAAGCATTGCGAAACTATTCAAGCAGTGCAAGTTGCAGCTAGCTCATGCCGGGTCACTTTCGGTGTAGGAATGTCCGAAGGGTCTTGGGGTGCGCTTGCAGGCTGCTCACCCTCGCCCATAGCTGCTGAGAAGTTCCATGGCACTGCACAATCACACTGCAAATGATCACACTGCAAATTTCATGTAGCTTGTCACACTTTTGCACCAAACAACATGGTCATCTTGTTAGGCATGAAGCTAGAACAACATTTGAGCACTTGGGAGTAGATGTTAGCCAAAAAGAAGTCTGCCTGCTAGTACTTCCTACGCCTCCCAGCAAAAGCTCGGTCGCGCAGCAGAAGGGAGAAGAACCCATTTGACCCTGTCACCTCACTGTGCTAAACACGCACACAACCAAAAATGAGTGTTGCACGGAGTCCGAGCTCCTTTGGAACCTGATGCAGATGCTAATGAAGAGGAAACAAGCAAACAAAACACAACAATCTGATTTCAGTACTACAAAACTCTCTTCATTGATTTGCAACCTGCGCTCTTCTTGACCAGGCCTAGCCAAAGGGTTGGCGCACCAGGAACAGATGGTTTTTCCTGGCCACATCTTTGCTCTGTATCCCCTCTCTGTGAAGGTTCTTCAGGAAGTATATCTTGGGTATTTCTGTGGAACAGTGGATGATGATGGTTAGTAAAGGCCTTTCTCTAAAATAGTGATACAGTAATTGTTTACCAATGTTACACCCCCAAAGTATCTCCCTCTCAACCAAAAAAGGCCTCATGAGGTTTTTGGGTACATGTTCCAAAACTGCAGGGGGACTCCCAAATCTCCCAACCAAACCGTCTTAACACAAACGCAAAGGCACACCTAGGTCAACCTCTAGTTACTCTATTTCAAGGAGGATCACCTAGGAGACTGTGCACCATCAAATACTTGATCAAGCGGCCTATACATCAATGAAAAGAACAACAAATCACAAAGATGCCGCTGGACTTATATAGTCTGGACAAATCACGTTTCCAGCCACCAGTCGCGTATGCCACCGCTCAAGCTGCAGAGATCTCTGTAGTTGTTTGCTGGAAAAGGAAAGCGGCTAATTTTAGCTCGTCAAGACGGTCCGACCAAAATTGTGAACAAGGTGAAAAACGGTCTTAAAAGAATTGTCAGAGCCACTTTTAAGACCATATGGCAATCTAATTGGCAGAAGGCTTGTCGATGCAAGGTTGCAGGACGGAATCTCCGGAGCCTCCAACGACTTTGCATATTATCTTTTTATACATGGCACTCACCTTTGAACCGTACACATCTTTCGAGGTATGCTCTGTCCTTGAGAAGCTCTGCAAAGTTGGCTGCAGCTCGATTGCTGTCCTCCATGTCTTCAAACAGGGCCTGGATGTTGAAACCATGCACAAGTTGTTCAACTTGATGATAGCTCGTAAGAACTCTTTGTCATCAAGGTTGATCAGGTTTCCCCTCAAGTGTGTCTCCCCATAAGAAACTAGTGTCACTTGTTGTGAAGCCCGAGAGCTGTCTAGATCTCTGGCCTCAAAGTGCTGGTAGGAACAGTAACCTGCAAAAACATAAATTAGCAACATGTTAGTGTCTCATATAAATAAGTATGATGGTTGCAAGAAATATACAGTATATATAGTCCAGTATTGTTCTTGAAATTGATGTTGCGCTCTACCAACAGTTTTGGTATGTTTGGGTGTCGAGCTTTTCCAGGTATTTGGCATGAGGAGTTCGCTGGGTTGCGTGCCCCACCATTCATCCTTTCGATGAGAAATTGAAGGCGCTTCCTGCACAAAGAAAAGAGCGACTAATCTTGTCCACTGGCAGAGCACAAAGATTCCAGTCGTTTATCCGGAATGCAAAGGTTCAAAATGTCCGTCATTTCAGACAGAACATGAATGTGGGCATGAGCAAAGCTCTAAGGTATGTGCGCCTAGTAACTTGGGAACGGCGCTTTTCATCCATCTGTTATTTAGTTATTTACATTTATTTACCACTAAGTTCCGGGAGTTCCACCATCTCTCCCCAATCCAAGAAATCTGAATTGGTCACTTCTGCAAAGAGAGACAATGGTTGGTCCACTATTGAACGTCGATGCACATGGTGCATTGTAAAGAGAAACCTACGTACATGCAAAGGTTCTGATGTTGCATGCTGTCTTCGCACCTGGTCGACAAGCCACTTGCAAAAGTCTCCCAGTTGGACATCTTCAAGTCGTTCACACTGCCCCTTCGAGTGGCAATCACGCGGAATCACGCGATGTTTCAAGCGGCGAACGAAGCCATGACCCCTTCAGCTCAATCAACTGACTTTAAAGCAAGAAAAATAAAGACAAAATAAGAAAATTGTAAAAGGCATGCGTGGCGGGCATTCAGGCCTCCCACGGTGTTCTGCTGGCCTCACTGCACAGGCACGCAGCACAAGAATAATTACAAGGAGGGTCACCGATGTCGCTAATACGTTGTGCTTGATTAGCACACTGACGTGTCTAGTCAAGCTGCATTCGATAATGCAGACGTAAAGAGCTACAAATTTGCCCACAGGCCTTCAGGACATGATCGTTGAAAACGTGTGAAAGCCAGCAATGAAGCCAATTGTGTGCGATTTAGCATGTCGGCTTGCCAGCATCAAAATGACCTTTTCGACCTCAATCTAGCGCTCTACGTTCTTCCTCATACGCTCATCGACCTGATGGTGGAGTATAGTACGGTGTTTGATTTCTCTCATCCCAACCCTGTTTGGCCATAAAGCCAAAGTATTTGTTCACCCACAGTTCTACGAAATCAACATGCTGTAAAACTGATGACGGTGTGAAGGATTCCGAAAGATAGTTTGGGACCGTGAGTGTCTGCGGTGTGACGCACCCTGGGGCCCCGACGCTGAGGGCTCCAAATCGCAAAGCCACTTTTCGGTGGCCATGCCTCGCGATGATGTCAGCCTGCAACCTGTATGGAACCATATGGAACCTCTGTCTGTTCTCAATAATTACTTCGGAAGTCAGCGCGATATTAGTGATTGAAAAACTAGCCCAATGAAATCTGCCTCCTGTCATAGAGCCAGCTTTACAGGCAGTTGTCGTGAGTGCACGTTGAATTGAACTGGATCACTCCCCTGCAGGTTGTTACAAACAAAAGCATGCGCTTGAGGAGTCATCACAATGTCCTATGAAGCCAGGCCTTGTCTGTATGTATAGAACCAAGATTTGACGGCATGCGACTGAAAACTCATACATGAATTGAATTAAATTGGGAATTCAATGGGGCCACTGCTGGTCATCATGGACAGGATTCTTTCGATTAAGGTCCTTCCTTGGCATGTTGTTCATGTTTTTTCATTTTCTCAGGGTTGAAAGTGTGCCGTCGCCAAATCATCAGCACTTGCTGTTCTTGCTGTTCCTGTTGCTGCTGGTGTTGTTGTTCTTGTTGTGGTTGTCATCATCACTCTACTTCTCAATGAAAGATCAAAGGCAACTGCTGGAAAGCTGGCCCAAATGCCTGACCTTTCAAACATATTCAAAACTCAGGCAAATCACGAAACTGCCGACCACTGAAGCATCACCCCAATAGTGTTCTTCAACACAGCATCACTTTCATCATCCACAGCCAATCTTTCTACAGCAGGAGAGCTCTAGACTCTATACCAAAAACGAAAGACTGTACTACTTTACTACAACTGTAGACAGATGTCTGAACTCCAATATTCTCCAAGATCGCGCAGCAAAGCTGCCAGCTGTGTCTCAGGATGGTGCTAAGGAGCAGGCTCTCTGTGCAACACCTGGCAGTTCTCATGGGCTGCGCATGCTGGCTTTCCGAATCGCTTGTTGGCCACAGGAGTTGTTCCCTGTCCAGTACATACAGTACATAACATTTAACAAAAAAATAAACGCACGGAACCAGTCTGTTTTTGTTGTGTTTTGTCTTCGATGCTTTGCTAGAGGTTACTCCGCCACTGTCTCCGTTTCAAGGCTGCTTGTATCCATTACTTTGGTACAGTACAATATTGCAACGCAGTGTTTGCTCCAATGAGAACGGGTGTTAATTGCAATATGCTCCAAGCTTTGCAGGAACACTCTGTTTTCGAACGTTGACCCGATTCTTCCGGTAACCGTGACTGATTATATAGCTTGCGGAAATTGAAAGGTCTCCTCTTGGTGAGGAGAAAATGACAATGGTCAGAGACAGGATGCAGTCCCGGAGCGTTAGTTATGTGAGTGACAATTTTCAAAAACAACCAACAGCATCGAAGCTGATCTCTGAAAAATGCCTGCAAATCAGCCCAGGAGAGAGCTGGCCAGCTGCATCGCCTGCGGTCAAACCAACTGCGCAAAACGAGTAGTTGATACATCAAGATTAAAAATAGATATACATGATTATACATGTATGTGTAAGAAAAATAATGAGGCAAAAGAGGAAAGAAAGAAGGTAAGGCCCCCTTACCCGTTTTATCCTTCTGAAATCTTCATGTTTGGGCCCTGCGGGGACGGCTCAGCGAGCCACCAAACAGCCCAGTTTTGTGTAACATCGCCAGCAACCTTCACCGCCACAATGTCAGACATGATCTGATTTGCTGCACGTTACAACACGACAAGTACTGCCAGGAACTGTTAAAATCTCCTCTATGCTGCAACTGTACAAGTCTTGCATTATACCCGACGTTGTCATGTCCAGTGCGTCCGAGCAGTACTTGGCTTGTTTGACACACTTGAATATGGATCCCAGGCACAAAGTCTGGAAGAGATGAAGTCTACACAAGTCTTGAGAGCCCTTTAACTTTTTCGGAACAGAACCATTTTGTTAGCGTGTTGTCCTATTGGGAGACAATCATGAAATATGCAAGTTTGCTCTATGCACGTGCGTTTTAAGGGCTTCGAGAGGCCAGCATGTGCTGAGGTGAAACAGTTCCTGCTGGTTTTTCCCATCATACGCCGAAATCGGCTTATCTGGGACCTAAAATGCCTAAACCTCTCATTTGCTAACTCCAGCAAGCCGCAGCGCTGCGCCTGCAGAGCTCCAACAAAGTGTGGCATTTTACAAACAAATTGCATTCTTTAGCACTGACGAAGCATCTGCGGAGCAAGCATCCGCGAAGTCTCCAAGCACTGGAGGCCGAAAACGGCTGAGTGTGAGAACAAGATTCCAACAGGATTCAAAGAGCCTGCATTCATTTTGGTGATTAGGGTGTAGAGCTCCGGATTCACCTTCGAACAGAAAGAAAAACGCTGCAAACCAAACACCTACAAGGCCATGCACGACAGCAGCAGTGCAAGCGCGATCCTGATCCAAATCATCGCTGGCTTGATGGTAATGTGGATACGACTCATCATCACCGTGGATGGAAAGGACCTTGGCAAAACGACTCTTTGAGAAGAAAATGGGCCACTGTTGCCGTTGTTTCTTCTGAGTGCCACACACTTTGCATGTTTTTCTGCAAGAAACTCATGTGGTCCGAGCCAAAAGGGTTGTTGCTATGCCTTGGCAGTCATCGACCGCCAGCTTTGGACATTGTTTTTCATTAAAAAAGAATCACGCATCTTTGTTGAGAAGACCCGTCAATGACGATTCTCGCATTATTGCAGTACTGACCTTGGCACCTTGGAGCCGCGGTGCGTTACTCTGAGCCTGTCCCCATTGTGAGTTTGGCTCGCACCAGCCAAGTGTTTGAGAACTTTGTCTGCCCAGTCATAGGACCTAGGTACTGTGTGAGCCCAACACAAGTCCACATTATCATGCACAACAATCTCACGTGAACACAGCACCTACCCACCCACGCTACTAGCCACAAACTACGGAAGGAAAACTACCCTTTAGTTGCTGCAAAGGCTCTCCAAGTTCACCACAGGACCTCGGCAACTCCGTTGTGACCTTCAGGTCACTACTTGGAAAGGCTTGGAGGGGGTGATTTTTTGCTTGTTCAAACTTGATTGCGCCAGGACCCACTACCTTGTCACTGAACTATCCTTTCATGACTGAACCGGCAACTGACTGAACAATCGTTCTTGCACCTCTGTTATCACAGTCGATTTCCCTCCCAAGCCCTTCACCTCGATCACATGCCTCATCCCTATGACAACCACTGCCCTATCCATCCCCTGGTCTCTGAAAATCTCTGGTCCTTTTTGCTATTGCACAAGAACAAGTGCCGACCAACAACTAGCAAGCTGTACGCCACCCGCGTGAGTGCTCTTGAACCTCCCCTGAACTGCGGTGCACCAGCGATGTTTTCAACGTTAGTGCGCGAACTTCGCCGACAAACTGTTTCACCATGGCTTCCTGAAGGCGTTGTTTCCATGTTTCGGCCTGACACAAACATTGGGTCGTACGTAAGCCAGTGTCCACTGCGCATCGCCCAGGAACTGACAATGGTTTCAGAGTAGATGGCGTCCATATAAACCACCTTTTGGGGTTTGTGCCATCTACTCTGAAACCACTGTAATTGTTCTGCCCCGTCCATTCTTGTCTGTTAGCGACCTAAGAGCCTTGGACTGTCGCACGTTCGACAGTTCCTTTGCTGGAGCTAGGTCGAATTCTTGTTTCTTGCCCATCTGGGCGCCTCAGAGCCCTGAGGGCGCGTGGGACATTCCCCAATGAAGTGCGGCCAGACGATCTGTAAATCTTCATCTGTTGTCTGTCAATGCTTTTTTTGCAAACTGACTAGGCCAAAGCAGGAAGTCCTGGCTCCTGCTGACGAATCGTTTTCTTCTTGGACTCCATCTCCGGCATGCTGCAGTCCTTCTGCGGTGGGACCTGGATGACCTCCTTCTGTCTCCTTTCAAAAGATCCTCGCCGAAATCTATCCCTGTCGGGAGATCTCCTTGCAACCTCCTACCCCCGCTCCACCAGGCCTTGCCACACAAGTAGCCTGCCCTCTAGCTGCATGTGGGCAAAGGAGAGGATGAGCCGTCTTTTCCATGAGCGGTTTAGGAACACGGCGCTCCCCTCCCTCCTCTGCTGTCCAAGCACCACAACGACTGGCAACTAGCAAACAGCGCACCTCCCGCTCCCGTGAACTCAGCCACCACCGTCCACCACATTCCCTTGAACAAGAATTACAGGGCACTCACTCCCCTTACATTTCCAAAGGCACTGTTTGTTGCAGAACTTCTCCAAGCAATCTCATCCATGACCAAAGCCTGAAGGGCTGGGCCAACCCTAGTCACTATATGACTACATGCTCATTCTACGTGCTTGCACGTGAGCTGTCCGGCGGAAATGCAGGGTTATCGCCTTGTGTTCACTATCCTGTCTCCGCAATCTTTGCATAAGTGAATTCGCCTGAAGGTCTGCCACGCATACAAATCAAGGGCATGAAGCCCCCCAGCAGAAATGGTGAACTGATCCACACAAGAACGACTGGATATCCTATGTCTGCCTGCAAAATCGAGGAGGAACTATCATCTTGGCCACACAGCCTTGCAGTCTACAATTGCTCAGGACTGAAACATAAACATTGGTTGGTGCAACTGTGTTTTTGTGCCTTGACATGATCCTTGCAGCACCCTTTTCACCATCCTGGCCAAGGAAACCCAGCTCCGATCAATGCACTTAGTTACACTGAGTGCTACAGGAGAGGCCTGCGGCGAAGTGGAGCTTCCAAGTCCGCTTAGGCGCGTGGCAAGCTCCTGACAGTGCTCAGAATTCAGAATATCATGTGGTAATATATATATATATATGCGGGTGTTCATCTGCTGTTAAAATATTTGAGAAAAAAAACAGCTCCTCTGATCCCCTAAGGCCCGGCTCTTCTGCAGCAAAGCATGCAAAAACCAAGGTCTTTTTTGGTTTCACCTGGCTAGTCAATTCAAAGGCTAGAATGCAGTCGCCGGTGACTAGCATGCCAATCATATGCTTTCGGCTCCGGCTTATCCAAAAGCCAAAGAGATGAAGGTGGCAGGTCTTACCAGACAAACAATAACAACAACAAGCACTTTTGCCCCGCACAAAACAGCGGGATTCAGTCATAGGCGTCAGTAGAAGGAAGACGGCACGAGCAGCATCGGTTGTGCTTCAGGCAATTCCTGCATCTTCCTCGCAGCTCAAAATTGGATCATGAAAAACAAATTGCATGTTCGATTAATGCCTGTTTTCTTTCACCATGTATTGAGCACTTGACGCTGCTTTTCCGAACGTTGAAACAAAATGTTCTCGTTGTTCTGAGCCAGGGGGCATCACTGATGATGCCAGCGTCTCGAGCTTCTTTGGCAAGTTTGGGGGGCAAAATGTTTCCTGCGCAAACTATTGTATGTATGCAGTTGACAAGCGCAAAGGCAAATCCGCCCGCACCGAAGGTGCCGAGGCGTTGTGGTGGTATCGCGTAAACCGGAGGAATGTTCTGGAGGATTAGTCTAGCGTTAACTAGGGGGGGGTGGGGACATTTTCGGATAGGAAGTGCTGCGCTTTAATGCTTTACAATGAATTTTTCCCCGAACAGTGTGGACACAGTTAGGGGTTTTTACGGTAGTAGTATATGCTTAGATTGCGTGGCAGGCGCAAGGGGAAACTTCGTGCTTTGGTGGTCCAAAGTCGACGTTTTTCGTGACAGGCACAGCACTTTGTGAACCTCGACGTGCAGATTTCGTGGCGGACACAGCACTTTGCGAACCTCGCAGTGCAGATTTCGTGGCAGGCACAACACTTTGTGAACCTCGGAACTGCAGATTTCGTGGCAGGTGCAACGCTTTGTGAACCTCGAAGTGCACATTTCGTGGCAGGCGCAGCACTTCGTGGTCTCAGATGCTCACTCACACCCACCTTCACTCTCAACTCTCACTCACTCTCACTCACAGTCACTCTGACTCTCACTCACACTCGCACTCACACCCACACTCACTCACTCTCCCACTCTCACTCACACTCCCTCTCACTCTCACTCTCACCCACACTCTCCCTCTCACTCTCACTCTCACTCTCACCCACTCTCACTCACCCACTCACTCTTGCTCTCTCTCACTCACACTCACAGTCACACTCACAGTCACACTCACAGTCACACTCACTGTCACACTCACTCACTCACTCACTCATTCACTCACTCACTCCCTCACTCACTCACCACCATCACCTCTCTGGACCCCAATGCGTCTAGATCCGCTTATAGACGGTCTCTTGCCGGGATAATGAAGATTGGTTAAAATGGAGCCGAACAATCGCGGTGCCGGCTATGCCGGCCGGGGGAGATCGCATTATCGACATCGCGGTCGTATGTTTCTTTGGGTATGCTGCCTGACAAAAATTTCTTCTCCAGGAAAGAGGAGATTGATATCGTGCGCGCGGTCTTGGTGGAGAGGTCTTGTGTGGGGAAACAATCGGTAGCGCCTCGGTGTTTCCGGAGTCGGGGGCACTCAGCGCTGCCATCCTGGTGCACTTGGTTGGTGTTACAACAACACGCCGCTAGAGCCGCTAGATGTTGTTTGCTCATACTGCTGTGCTGTAGCTCAGAGAGTCGCAAGGAAGGTTTGTTCTAGACCTGGTCCTGGAGTTCCACCCCTGATAATACACGCCTTCCAACATTTCAGCCATGTCTCTCAAACGATTGTTGCAGGGGAGGTACGCAGGGAAAGTGCGAACGCTTCTTCAGGCTTGACCCCGGTTCACGGTTCCTTCCGGTTCCGAGAGCACAAGTTGCTAATGACACACTGTTCCCATGTATGTCTGGATGTCTGTCCGCATGCATGTATGCATGCATGGTAGATGTCATTGTGTGTGTGTTTTCCCTTTACTCTGTGCGGGCGGCTTCCATGTGTGAATATTCAAAAAACTGAATCTGAGAAATACTGCCTCTATTTGAGTATGACCTTGCGGGTTCCCAAAGCAGCAGGCTTGAAGAAAATCTGCCTTGATGGCGCGCTTCTTCGACCCTGGCGACCAATTCTGCCAGCTTGATGAAGGAAGGAAAGCCAGGTGAGTCCTGAAATCCAACACTACCCGGCGGCCCGGAGGCGGAAGGGGACCAAGCATGATGATCAGCGCTTGATTGGAATTCATCGCTACTAGTAATAAAGGGCATCGCTACTAGTAACAAGGACGCTACTAGGGGCTCCTGGCCTTACTATTACTACTAGGAGCAAGAAGCTCCTACTAATCAAAAAACACAAGATTTGCAAGTCTATGCAGCCCAAGGATCGACCACCTTCAGACTGCGGATCTCTTTCAGTGGCACATCTGTGTACACAAACGGGTCAATATCAGAAACATTGTCGCCATGCCTCGCAAAAAGAAAGGTGGACCTGACAGTCCCTCGTGGTGGGTGACTGTTTCTTGCATCTTCTTGATGATTCATTCCTAAGATTTCCAGACAAGCAACTGGACATGTAGGCAAACTCCAAACTCATCCGGCCTGTTCTCAGCGACATTCAGCGACGGAATCGTGTTTGGGTCAGGGTCAATTGCGACGACTAAGCAGCCAAATCATATGTATGCAAATAGATAGATAGAGAGATAGACAGATAGATCGATCGATCGATCGATGGATGGACGGATGGACGGATGGACGGATGGATAGGTAGATAGATGGATGTCATTTGCTCTGCATTCCTGCATCAAAACAGCTAAGGCCTTCTTGAGAGATATCGATTGCAGGCAAGTTACATCAAAGCCAAGCTGCGCTGGCCAAGTTTCTCCTTATGAGAGGGCATATGATGCACAAGCATCCAAACCCGCTGCAAACCCTGACAAAATGTTGTGTAAGCAACCTCATTAAGTCGTTAAGAAATAGCTCGCTTCGTCTACATGTGTTTTATTGTTGGCCCATTTGTTTCCCTCTGAAGTTCCTCGCCATGTCCCTTTGCAAGACTGACATGCTGAAATCAATGCTGCTACTGCTGCTGCTCCTCCCCTCCTGCCCCTCCTGCTCCTCCTGCTCCTCCTGCTCCTCCTCCCTTCATCCTTTTTGCCGAAGACCTATCTTGTACCGCTGCACTCTTAGTTCAAGATTGGAGCATGCAGCATTCAAAAAACCTGCAACGGTTCCATTGGCTAAAGTGGCTAAAGTCCTGCACCACCTACCTGCTTGATGCGACAAATTTGAATATGGGCACGAAACTCGTTGCCTTACAATGTGGAGGTATGTTTCATAGGTCATGTTTCATAGGTCATGCACGACTTATTCTGTCGACAGTCCGTGAACCTGAAGCTTCAAAGACGAGTCCGGCCACCTTTGGTTTTACACCCTCCTTGGCCGTTCGGGGAGCTCAAGGTGTTTCCCTTGCTGCTTCTGCATGGCCAAGAGGTTTGAGATTACTGGGGCAAGTGCTTGACATTTGTGCCAGATGAGCTGGAGAGAAATTGCCGATGAAACCCATTGCTTCCATCGCCAGTGCATCAGCGATTCCAAACTCCTTTACAAGCGCTGATGCCTATTCTCTACTTTTACATACTCTGTGGTCATGAACACTTTCGGTGGGTAGGACCCTTTCGCATCAAAGCCATATTGTTTTGATGAAGTCAATGGTCCAATAGTGTTCTTCACTCCCCACATATTTGTGCTGTGTGTCATCATCTGCTGTTGTGCAGTAGGTCTATCAGGAAGCAAAAAAAACAAAGCGAAATCGAGGAACAAAAAAGTTTTTCTGGACCCAGGATTGATTTGATTTGCTGTCAGTCATTAAGGCTGTCCAATGACTTCCGATTGCAATAAGTGGGTTTGGGCGGAGCTTCGACCCTGGCTTGTTCGAATCTTGGCATCCATCAGTGTTTTTTTGAGGAATGCAAAGCAGTAGACACTCGATTGAGTGTTTCTTAGAGTCAGTTCGCTGAATAAAGGCCAAAACACAATTTGAAACTTGCCCACCCTGGCTTAAGATTAGTCAAGAGTCAATTAGTTCTACACACCAGTCGTAGTCTTCACCGAGATTTTTATCGGCGAAAGGCAGCTTCAATGCCACCTGCCTGTGGTATAACAAAGTAAATCCAAACCTTGGCAGGGGTCAGTAAGGAAGGATTCAAAGACGGTGAATCGGACGACAGCACATAGCCAAGGCCCCAGCGAATATAATCCAACTTTCACTTCAGGTGTCTTCCTGCTCATATGACCTCGCATCAGTTTCCTCCACTTGCTTTGAAAGTTTTCGTTGCTCACGAGTCTCCAGCGTCTTCGCCCCAGTCGTGCTGCATCACAATAGCCAAAGGCACCCACCTCAGGGGCGGACCATTGAACCGCACTAGAGCACTTGTGCTGCACGGCTGCCTTTATCTTAATCTTGCAAGTCACATCCGCGTGCATGCCTTGGATTCATAGGCCGCTATTGGGCTGGCACTAACGAGGAGGCCGGTGTTGCATCTGTGAAACCGATCCAGGCCCCTGGATCGACATACCTGCTTGGTTATGGCGTTGAATAGTTACATTCCACTCTAGAGTTCAGGCTAGTTAGGTGGAGGTAGGTCTACAGTCGCACATTCACCACACTTCGTGGAACTTGGAAGGTTGGAATTTGTGTTTCTGGACGTTGGAACACCGCTGCATTTCACACGTTCTACTTTGTGTTACCTGCTTTTCCTCACGCATTGTATCCTTAGGGCCCTGCTAGGCATTCGCAGGTACCCAATCTCAAGCGTGTGCATGTGTGTGTGCCCCATGGAATCACTGGGTGCCTTTTGGCATTGGTTTCTTATGTACTTTGGTCCGGAAGTTTCTAAGTATGGTTAGACCGTCGTACATACTACCTGGATCTCCCTCATTTATTGAGGCAACTTTTTCAGCTAGGCTGCCGTGTGGCATGTGGCAGTCGTACTAATTTCCCGAATGTGTGAATTACTTTTGGCAAGCGTTTCTAGGGGTGTGGATTCAGATTGGCTGTTGGATGGCTGCACGGAAACAGTCCGGCCTCTGCGTTGCCCACATACCAGCTTGAAAGTTTCAAAGCTGCAGCACCATCAAAGTGGCTCATCCTCAAGCATAAAGAGGTTCTGTCGGACTGGTGTTGAAACACGTCAAGCGCCTGGTCGACATAAACGCCAAGTATCCTCCAGGAAAGGAAGGATGTCAATGAATGAAATGAAATGACGCGGTTTGAACGCTGCATTGCACAGAATTGTCCTGATTCTAGCTCCAGCCCCATGGAAAAGATGAAAGCTGCTTAGCAAACTGAGTCGCTTCTTGCGGTTACAGTAAGTTGAAGCTTGGGCATTTTCAAAAGCGCACATGACATGTGTGCATTGTACATAGAAAAGTTATGGCAAATGTGTGGGCTTGCAAGTCGAACAAACGTTCTCTACACGCGAGCCCAGATTTGCCTAATCAAACAAGTCTCTGCTTGCCCCGCCTGGGGCATAAAGATCGTCATCGTCAAAGTGAGCTATGAGATCACCGCTTGCTGCGTGGACGCCAATGTTCCTCAAAGGGCTTGCATGCTTCGAAAGAAAGAATTCGCAGGGACTGCACATTTCACTGCAACATGAAACCTGAAAAGCAACCGTAAGAAAAACAAGGTGCTGCTGTTCTTACACCCGTTAAATATAGATTATATGATATTACATGTACGTTTTTCAACGTATGTGTTTCGATGAAACCAGTAGCATGTTCTGTGTGTTTGGCTACACGCACGATGCACTGCGTTTTACAGGGCGTGCAGGAATTTCAGCAAAAGCCATACGTTTTGCGGAGCATCCGCTTCGACAAACTCGAGTTGGCCTGCACTAGATTACTGATTGTTCGAAGTACATCCGGTGATGCGGTTGTTCGTGCCATGTGTCATTTACGCCTCTGGCGGCCCAGCTGTTTCTCGCCTCTTCTGGCCGGCCCACATTGCTTCGGTGCACATATGCGTAAGACCTAGCTGCGCAGCGCTGCACACCTTGTTTTTCGCATTACGAGTGCTCGAGTCCTTGAACGCCTTTCAGCAAACCCCATTTGCGATCCAGCCCCTGCTCTCCAGCATCTTTCAGGGCTCGACTGCTTGACTTGCGAACAAACTCCACGCGCACGTGCTTCACTTCTGAGAACTAGTAGCGATGCCAGGAGCCCCTAGTAGCGTCCTTGTTTTTAGTAGTAAGGCCAGGAGCTACTAGGAGCATCCTGTAGCGTTCCTTGCTCCTAGTAGTAAGGCCAGGAGATACTAGTAGCGTCCTTGCTCCTGGATGCTGCCGCCAAACTCTGGAGCCATCAAAGAGCGTGGCCCAAAAAGGATGCAACAAAGGGGAAGGGGGACCGTGTCGAAGCAAAAGAATTAAAGCTAGAAAATGGCAGGCTGTGCGTTAAGGCACTCATGGCCGGCGCATCAAATTGATAGCCGAAGCAGCCCAACAATACAGAAGTAAAAAGCGCAACATTCAAAGTGTTACGAGAGTCTCTAGACAACCAACTCAGATCTTGAAAGCTCGATCTTCGACCATAATAGCAATCAATCAATCTTCCAAACTGACTTAAGGGGCTGTAGGATCCTCAAATTCCGGACCACTGGCATCGGCTTCGAGAATGTCTGAAATTCTACTTGAAGGCCTCACTAGATCGCTATAAAAATGCTATAATGCTGGTATTGATTGGATTGATCTGTTGTAGCAAGTTCAGACATTTCCATACATGATCAAGAAGTGAAAAGTGTAAGAAGCGCCAATGAACGTTGCTGCCCCCAACCCCTCCAACAGCCCCCGAACCAAACATATTAGTCAACAGGTTCATAACAGCATACTCGGGTGAAAAATGCTTGAATTTCACGGGTCCGCTGTTGGCGGCGTGAGCAAAGACAGGTTTTGAGTTATCTTGGAGGTGCAAGGAGTATAATGTCCTCGCTAACTCAAGACGTACAACCACGCCTCTTCACACCAATGGACAGGTCATCACCTGGTAATCTCTGCAGGCCTGACAATCTGAAACTTCAGAACCTGCTGATCAGCCTGAAGAGCCTCGTGATGCGCCAGTCTGCTGCTGAGCAGCTGATGACCTTCATGTTGTTGTTCCATGCAGCCTTTCCCGACAAGAAAGAGCTGGGCTCATCCTCGTAGGTCTCAATGACGATAAGCTCCTGCACTGCATTTGCTCTACTTGACGACATGACTGCAATTGTGTTATCAGGATTTCGCAACACGGGCCTTGTCGTCCCATGCTTGGCACTGAAAGTTCCAAAACAGTAGTTCGTGAAATCGGTGTCGGTCCTTGGCTGAGTTGAGAATGCTTGCTTGAAGCGGAAGGTTCTTCAATCGTCTATATAAGTTGCAGCCAGGGATGTTGATGCAACCTACCCAGCTACAAAGCTTGCTCCTCATCATTCAAGCATCCCCAGTTGTCACTGTGATCACAGAAATTCTGCCTGCATGACTCTCCTTGAAGCCAGATGTGAGACTAAGTCACCACAGCACAAGCTTTCACATAGAGCCCAGCCTTTGCTCCAAGGAAGTGCCAGTTGCTTGCTGGTGCCTCTCGCGGATGAAATTCGCCTTGAGGCGAATTGGAAGAGTCCAAAGTTGCAAGGCTCTTCCAGTGCAAAACCACAACCGCACACGTTTGTGCGGTCAAGGTACCATCGGTGTAAAACCACAACTCACACTCTCTCTCATCCCAGCTCAATGCTTCCTGACAAGCAAACGCACAGATCAAAGAAATTGGCAACATGCACAAAGTTAAATGAAAGGCCTGCTGTGAAGGGTTCATCAAACAAAGGACCAACCAGATTAGCAACTTGCTTCACAATGAGAATGACATAACGAAGGGCAGGGATGGAAATCTCTTTCATGGTCCAGGATTCGAAGGAATTTCGGACGTTTGTGGTAGGCCATGATGAAAATGAAGTGGTACAGTATGGATGGATGTTAATGACCCTGTAAACACCAGGCTTCTGATTTGATCCTGACTAGCAGCCTTCACAAGAAGGTATTGGGAAGACTACATGGAAGACAAGGTTTGTTGCTAGTGATGAAGGAACAAACAAAGACCAAATTTCAAGCAAACAAATCACTTGCCGCATGGTTTGGTCTAGTTTGAACACTTGGGAACACTTCTAGGACCAGGACTTGCACAGCAAACACAGTTTGCTGCAGCAATTCCATTAATGAACAATGGAATCGCACAAATATTTGGTTTGATGTGTTCTTGAGATCCTTTTGATCCTTTTCAAGGACCCTTTGCAAAGAGAGAATGTGTTCTGAACAATACTATAAAATACATGTGTATGTGTATATATATACATACATACTGTATATAGATAGACGTCTCTTTGTATTTTGATGTTGGGGTCCTGCATGCTTGTCTGAGTCCCTCTGTCAGGGACACAGTAGACCCTCCTGGAATCTTGGAAGGGTTGCGACTCAAGTTGTTGTTCCTTGTGAATTAAAAAACCCTGCGAACGAGATGAATACTATGAATTATGCATATTAAACTGAATATTAACATATATATATATAGTTGTTGATACTTGCAAAATCGGCTCAAAACCTTGGTTTGGAAGGGCGCACTGTAAAAAGCTGTTTGTGAGAATGCGTGACGAGAGAGCACCGTTGGAACAAAAATTGACAAAACCAAGTTCTCGACAACGCTGTTTTTGGTGTCCTCTGGAAGCTGGACACAGCGCTTCCTCCCAGTCTTTTTGCAAAACTGCTCTGCACGCTCACGGAGGGACATCCTGAAAGCAGGCTATCAACAAGATAGATTTGAAAGTTTGCAAAACACAAAGGTCGCAAATCTGTTTTGGAGAATAGTTACCATGCATTGCACCTTCTGCTTCCTTTGCTGGAGCTGACATGCAAAAGAGTTGTGATTGCCTATATATATATATATACAGTATATATATTCCTGAAACGAATCTCCCAAAGCTCTTGATTCCTAGCGTTTGTCAACACGTCTTGCAAAACACTGCTCTGCCAAAACAGTCTGCCCATAATAAATATACTCGGGAAACAAAAATTTGCATTATTTTTCTTGGCTCTTCATGTCGACCTCCCTGCTGAGCCAAACTGCTGGAGTATGGAAATCACAAAGGCTGAGCCACTTACGGAACAGTCTCAAAACTAAACTGCAACGTCCATTAGCCAAGAAACCTGCACACATGACAGAGTTGAGAACTGGTAATGAAGCTGCAATTTGGGCCAGGCTGACGCCAGCATCTGCTATTGCCTTGGCAATGGCGAGCACCTCAGCAGCGCAGGTCGATTCTTGCTGCTAATACAGACAGCTTACACAAAGCACTGAGCCAAGGAATTGGAAGGAGGAATCCAGATTTATTGAGGGGCAAGCCAAACAACCTCAAGCATCGGAACAACAAATGTGACTGCCCTGGGTAGAGGACCAGCGGTTAGATGTGAAACAGTTCATGCTGAGGCACTGCAGAAGCTCCACTCCCATTGTCCACAGCACCAGGGGCTAGTCCCTGACGTGTCGAAAGCAGCAACGAACCAGTCAAGTCTACAGTGAAAACAACGGTAACCAGGCAACATGACACCCGCACTGCCTCTTGGTAGGCAATGGACGTTTCAAGACGGGAGGATGGATGTGGGTGGATACAGGGGTGAGTGGCTGAACTTAAAGCTTGGATAAGGATGGATGCATGAGTGGGTGGATGGATGGATGGATGGATGGCACAACGCGTTGGCCATGTTGCATCTCTTGGCATTGCGAGGCTGCATCATCATTTGCAGCAGCTGCCACGCGCTGTTGTAGGTGAACTTGCAAAGCAAGTCGTACAGCGTTGTCTCTCAACACTTGTAGTCCTTCGATCACCCTAATCCTGGTCTCCAGCAAAGAAAACGTGCCAGAAATCATTGAGGAGATCACGCAGCATAGGGCACGCAGAAGCTTGTAGTCCTGCGGCTAAACCAATCTTCCGCTCTCGCGAAAAGATCCACACGAGGGCAGCGCCCAGCAATCCTTGACGGCCTCGCCACCTTTTGGGAATCTTCTGGCTGGTCTCTCCTTTGCGGCGCGCAGACAAACCTGATGTTCCCACAAGGCCGCTGCACGCGTGGGGTCTCCAAAGAACCGCCAACTCTGTTGGAGGCAACGCTACTTTCAATGTTTCCTTTGAAGTTGCAATGGATGTTTTGCGGTTGCCTGCGGAATTTGCTCCGCTTGGCTCCCAAAACGGCGCTTTGCGTTGTTCGAGTGGATTGTTCGTCGCCCGCTTGGTGATTTCGTAGAGTAAAGCCAGCCTGCCCGTGATCGTGCGCTCCGGTCTTCTTCTGGAAACCCTCTGATGTCCTCAGGTACCACAACAAATCGTCACAACGAAAGGCTAAAATGACAAAAAAGAATGAGAAATGGGCCTCACCAAACATGTAAATTTCGCTGCGTCGCGCCCAATACAAATCCAGGCTATGTTTGCCAACCGCGCACCATTAGCACCCATTAGCAAATGTCAGTTTTCGAGCGCATGGAGAGGTGGGCCATACTTGTATGATCTGAGTTGGCATGTGGCAGCTAGATGTGGAATGACCTGAGGCGATTTTCCGCCATCCGCACGCCGCATGATATCTTTGCAGAGAAGTGCCGTGTGTCCGTGTGTGGTATTGCCCTGGTTGGTGCGCGGCCCCTTCGCGCATCACAATGGGTACCAGCATGCTTGTCATCAAGAAGGAAATGGCCACAGCCTTCGCTCAACCCTTCGGAGGTGATCTCATCAACCTGTCCACGGGCCCCTCCTTGACTTGGACATATCTATATAAAGGTCATGGCTCTGCACTCCAACAGTTTGCAGATCCCTGTGAGCAGCGGGATCATGTTGCACACAACTTGGCCATCTCAACCTTAATTTTCAGACTTTGAAGTCTTTGGACACTTTGGCAATTTCAGCCCTCATGTCTGTTCACACTTTGGCAGCATGCACCCTCATTTTCGACGACAGCTTCACACTTTGGTAAACACACACCTTCTTTTTCGATGACAGCTTAACGCTTTCGCAACAATCTCAGCACAAAAGGTGAAAGGTTAGGAAAATTGAACAAATCTCAAACAAGCACAAGCGCTTTGAGCAAGACATCGGTGAAGCAAGAACAAGTTCTTCTCAGATCTAAGCATGCTTTCAGCCAGGATTAGCGAGGATCTCTGGGACTTCAGGCTTTCGGCCAGGAGACGGAGCGGGCTCTGCTGAGTTCAGTGTGAGGTTGCGCTTTTTTCGCTCTTTTGTGTCTGTCCACTGCTCGTCCCCTGAATGAGAACCAAACTACTAGCGAACACGCAAAGTGTGTTTCATCAACTGTATCTGTTGAACCCTGCCGGAAACCTAGCGGTTTTCCTTGCGCTACCTGGGCATTTGCTGGATTCTCTTGCGTGCCGCCTTAAAAACGCTACTAACACTAACATGGACAACTTGAATTATCAACCACTGGAAAGGGTGCACAATGTTTTTGGCATCTCCTCATTTAAGAGTACAGTACACTCGAAAACAATTACTAAGAATATGTTTCAAAAAGTTGTCTAGGTTTGTCCTGATAGGCTCCTGTGAGGCATCTTTTGTGCATGTGAGACAGCTTAGGCAGGTCGTTCCGTGTGTGGCTTCCATTTGCTACCATGGCAATCACACACCCAGCTAAATTGGCCTAGCCTCGAAGGGTCTGGAATCATAATGTCCGCCGATGGTGACACTGCCACTTTCGCTGCCCTGGCTGTCGTGCTTCGCATCCCCTCTCTCTCTCTCTCTCTCTCCAAACTCCAATTGATTCTTGGCTCTGTCAAAGTACCAAAAGCTGTCTCTTGCGAGCCTGCATACCTGCCAGGAAACCGAAACCGCTTTAAATCACTGTTGCAGCCAAGCTGCAGGTAAGAAAGCTACCACGTCGTTCTGGTCGCTGAACGATTCCTTGCACGTTTGGTAGCCCATGTCCTGCAGAGAGCCATGGCCTATATTGAAAATGCTGTGTATAATGTTATAGCATGAAATGCTGCCAGAAGCTTGTATCAATACAAAGCTCCTTGAACTTTTTCTGCAAGTATCGCACCGAATTTGCAGTGGCTACAGGATTGCTATAACTCCTGCGGGAAACATTGAAGCAGCATGCATGAATTCGCAAGTTCGGAAAGCATCAACTGGCGTCTGTTTGACTTTGTTGATCCAGAAAAAATATCAAGATCCATGGGGCCACATGCGTGTCTGCTGACAGCAGCAAGCGTGCCTGGTCTGCTGAGTACCATCTCCAAGCTGCACCAACTCCTCTCAGGCCATGAGATCAGTGTGTTGAGGTAAACCATCGAAAGAGCGCAAAGCACAAATGTCAAGCGAAATGAAAGAGGCTTGAATTGAAGATGTTGGCTTCAGTAGATGTACGTGCACTGTGTACAGTACGTCAGTAGCCCTGCAGTTTACCTGGAAGTGATAAACTTCATATGTGACTTTGCCTTTTCTTTTAACTGATCCGGGTTCATATATCCAAGCCGCATGTTATTTTTTTAAACTCTAGTTGCAACACTCTTTTCTTTAAAGGTTGCAGAAAGTATGCTGGAAAGCTTGAAAAGTGACAAATGCAACAATGCAGCTGAAGTCCGTCAGCTGCTGCATCATGGAGTCACTGGTGATAGAGTCTACGACCTCCAAGACTGAGCGGGCGCATGGAAACACGTTGGAAACGCTTCCTTCGTCCGAAATGAAGCCAAAATGATTATATAATGAAACAAACACTTTTGTTCAATTGTCTGTCATGAGTCATGATGATCTTCCGATAATGCTTCGTCGCTGGTTTTGTATGTGCCGCGCCTTCTTCTCCAGCCGCTCCCCAGCTTCACTGAGGCCAGACGAGTAGTCCTATCAATTTGAGCGAGCAAGCCCACCGAACCTTTCTTTCATCAGAATCCTTGGAGTTAGCACTTGTTTGCGAAAATGATCAAACGTGAAGGATGCTTGACAGCATTTGGCCACAAGTTTCTCAAGCCTAGATTTCCTCAATGCATGCTTTGGTTTAGCATTCTCAGCGTTGCTGCCAAAAGCAAGACCCTATCACTTCTTGCCCTAACGAATAAGATCACCGAGATGGCCAAACAGCAATGAATTGGGGAACCCAGTCTTGACCTGCAAGCATGGAGTTCGTTTAATCGACGGACAACAGGGATCAGTACATTGGGGGGCTTTGCGAACAGCCCGTTTCAATGGTAACTTGGTGTGGAGTTCGGAGTAACCAATTGCTTTTCTCTTCAACTGGGTGTCTCGATGCAAAGAACTCGCTTCAAATTGTGCTACTTCACCAAAGCATGAAGCACAAACAACACAGAGTTCTTCTCGCAGAGCTTTATAGCTTTGCACGCAGCTCAAGTCCTTTGGCAGCTCAAAGTCCCTTGGATGGAGGGTTGAGAGCCATACATCCGTTCTACAGTGCGCCACTTCCACACAGGTACAAACGAGTACATCGGGTACAGACGAGCTCCTTGAAGTCCAAAGACCTAGCAACTCTGGGCAACATCCCACCTATCACAGCTGCAACTTCTACGCATTCAGCGGGGTCGTTGCTGGTAAACCCGTGCTGCCTACAGAATCCTCGGACCTTGTTTGCAAACCTGTGCTCGATGCTTGCGAACATTTGATTGAAACATATTGAAACTGTCTTCCAGAACCATTGTATCAACGCACTAAACATTCCTGAGACTTGCTGGGTGCTTGATTGCAATAATCGCTCTTTGGAAACCTGGAAATGCCAACTCCCTCCATAGCTGCCACGCTTCGGAAAGAGCTTCGCGTCTGAAAGGACCTAGGGGAACAGTACAAACAGCAGGAATGCAACGATAGTTCTACTTGGGCTTCTGCGCGACAAGCTCAACTTGCTCAGAAGGTTCGCTAGATCTGTCCCCGCTGGCAGAGTCTCTTAGCAGCCGACATCCTTGTGATTCAATTGTACCTCAGTAAAGCATCTTTTCGATTTGCCGCATGAGAAACAAAATGTCAACTAACCACCACAAAAACTGTCGTGACCGTGACCAGGTTCCATCATGTCAGCAAGGCATGGCAGTCATGATTATTGTGATTGTCGTCACGAAAACTTAGCATGTTTCTTTACTCGCAACGCAGCAAAGCTATTGCGACCAGTGGACAGTATGTCACACGCTGAACAATACGAACACCCTCTTTCAAATGACTGCGACTTGCCTTCTGCCTTAATGGCAAGTATGTAATAATAGGGAAGTGGAAGAAGTGCCCGTGAAAAACCCAGGTCCTTCTGCGTCCCGGCAACTAGCCGGCTAGCGCCACCTAACTTCCTTGATAGCCCGGCTACTAACCTGGCTAACTACTGGCCCCGGCTACCAGAGTTACCTTACTAGTTATATACCTTAGTTGGCCTTTTGCGGCCAAGCTGCCAATGAACTCAGTGAATCACGGCGCCCTGCAACTTTTGGCAAGGTTGTGGCCAGCGACTCTTTTCCCTGACAACAAAGGCACACACTACCAAATCAATCGTGTGTCATGTCGGTATACTAAAACGTATGGAACCCTTTTGGACATCAACCCTCATCTTGTGGCTAATTGCATGCCAGCTTTAAAACTGATGCGCACCCCTCACACCTCTCTAACCAGTGGCAGGGCAACGCAGTTTCCAAAACGAGTTTTGACAACACTCTAGGTAAATTGGATATGGTCGTGTCTCAAAATTAGAAAGCCCCAAGCCCGTGTTTGCCAAAAAAATATGTTAACAAATAAAACCTCATTGCTGGTCAGACTCACACACACAAACACACACTTAGGAAACGCGTACTGAATTGAACGCCGCTCGCCACACGGCAACCTAGGTACCCAAATTCCTGAGAAGGCGTGTAAGGGGCCTGATCATCTCTAGCCGTTAGGAGGCCAAAACGAAGCGACGACAGGGCGGAACCATTGGCCTCGTCATTGGCCATCCACCAATGGTGAGAGGGATGGCGTATGTGGATGAACATCCAACTCCCCTTCTCAAACACTAAAAATAAAAGGGTTCCCTGTGACTCCAAGGGCTTCACACACACTTACGGAAATGCGTACTGAACTGAACGCCACATGCCACGCGCCCACCCAGGTATGAACGCCCGTGGGTTCAGGTACATTACAGTCAAGAAAGTGTTCAAACTCTCAACCCCCCAAGGTCTCCAAATTCCGAAAAAACGAAACGCCGCGACAAGATGACAGCATTCGCGCACATCTGCCGACCTGAGAGAAACCTAACCGAGCCTGGTCAGCTAGAGGAGAAAGTGATTACCGAACATCACACTAGTGAAATTGCAGGTACACAGATTGGCGTCCCAATCTGCTTCACGGAGTATCCACAGCTGTCTTCGTTGGCAGCAGAACTGTGGACTGTTGCCCCTTGCTGATGAAAGAAAAACATATAAGGGAATCCCTGTGACTCCAAGGGTTACACACACACGCCTCCCACAAGGGGAGGCGAGAAGAACTAAGGCGAGGGCTGATGTGCATGTGTGCGCGCAGCAAGGACAACAAGATGAAGACATGAAAACGGGCAAGACAGGACAAAAGCGCACGCGGTTGCGATGAAGAGGAACCACGCGCACAGGGACAAACAATGAACCCCGCCTCATTGTCAAACCTGAGCAACCTGAAACCTGGGTTTGGAGTAGATGTAAATGCGCGCGTACAAACTAAGGGCTGGACGAATGTCCGCGCAAAAGAAGTAAGGGATGAGGCGCCAAGACATGAAGGCAGGAGACATGAAAGACAAGAGGAAAGAAGAGGTGTGTGAGGGGAGGGGGTGAAGGGGGAACCAAATGGAGGGGACAGGAGCAAGATGAAACCAAACCTCATTTGAAAGACGCAGGGAGGCCTGCAAGTGTACACGCTGTGTGTGTGCGCCTAAAGTGGAGACAAGTCCCAATGGGCCATACAAAAAACACCTTGCGCCTTGCCAAAATGGCTGGCTGCTCAGCCCGCTGCGGTCACCTTATGGCATGCTTGAAAGCTGCCTACTTGGTTTCAATAATTCATCTGGTCTTGGCAAATAACTTTGGCGTAAGCCTCCCACGCTCGCTGCAAGCTGCTCTGTATCCGGGCAGGGGTACGTTGGAAAAACCCCGTTCGACCGCTCCACAAGGGGGCACTCGTCGGGCTCCTAAGGAGAGACACGCTTATATGGAAAAGCGTCCTGAACTGAATGCCACATGCCACGCGCCTACCTAGGTATAAAAGCCTGTGGGTTCAGGCGCGCTACAGTCAAGTGTTCAAACTCTCAACACCTCCCAAAAAACGAAACGCGGCGACAAATGACAGCAATTCGTGCGCATCTGCCGACCTGAGAGAACCTAACCGAGCCTAGTCAGCAGAGGAGAAAGGTACACAGATTGGCGTCCCAATCTGCTTCACGGACTATCCACAGCTGTCTTCGTTGGCAGCAGAACTGTGGACTCCCTGCTGCCCCCTGCTGATGAAAGAAAACATATGAGGGAATCCCTGTGACTCCAAGGGCTGCACACTTATGATTATGCGTACTGAACTGAAAGCGGTTTGCCACACGCCGGCCTAGGCTACCGTTTCCTAAGAGTGCAAGTAAGAACCACCGGACCTGGAGGTCTTCCAAAGGACGACGCTCAGGTCGAGATGACGCCGTACGCTCTTGTCTGCCGCGCGCACTAGCCCTTTAAAGGATATGAGAGTCACAGCTTGAGAACATCACAAACATTGCAGGTACGTCGGAGTGATCAGCTCCTCCACAACTCATGAGCAGCTTCGTTGGCAGTAGGCTCATGAGTGGGCTACTGCCCCGTGCTGAAAGAACATTATGAAGCAAAACAATCCTACAGGATCCCTGTGATTCCAAGGGGCACACACACACACACACACGCCTCCCCGAGTCAGGCGTTCTTTTTCAATTAAGCTCCGGACGAGGGTGAGGTTGGGTGAAAAAAGATCCTACGAGAAGCGGTGAATCTCAAGGGTGAGGTCCAACAATCCATGTACATGAAGAATTTCCCGATGAAGGACCGCTTGAGCCATGGCGGGAGGAGCAGGGAAAGGTGGGGGAGGAATCATCACTCTAACGTCCCGGCAGGTTCCAACGAACCTAGAAAATGCTCTGACCGCTCTGGTCACCCTGTGCCATGCCAAAATGGCGGCTGTGGTCACCTAAAGGCATGCCAAAATGGCGCCCAGCTTGGAATTCAATAGTCCGTCAAGTCTTGGCGAATAACTTTGGCCTAGGCCACCCACGCTCGCCGCGAGCTGCTTTGTATCCGGGCAGGGGATACGGTCGACAAACCCCCGTTCGACGGGTCCACAGGGGCCACTCCTCGGGGTCACCCTGGGCTGGCATGAAGCCACTCATGATTATGCGTCCTGAACTGAAAGCGGTTTGCCACACGCCAGCCTAGGTTACCCTTTCCTAAGAGCGCAAGTAAGAACCACCGGACCTGGAGGTCTTCAAAAGGAGAAGGGGCCAAGATGACATCGTACGCTCTTGTCTGCCGCGCGCACTAGCCCTTTGAAGGATATGAGAGTCACAGCTTGAGAACATTACAAACATTGCAGGTACGTCGGAGTGATCAGCTCCGATATCCTCCAACTCATGAGCAGCTTCGTTGGCAGTAGACTCATGAGTGGGCTACTGCCCCGCGCTGAAAGAACATCACGAAGCAAATCAATCCTACAGGATCCCTGTGATTCCAAGGGGCACACACACACACACACACACGCACACACGCACACGCCTATGTTGTTTGGCTTAACGGACGCGCGTAGGCTTCGTCTCTGGCATAGTTGCTTTTGGCTAGGTTGTGGACAGGCTGACCCCGCAAAGAAGGGAGTCGGCAGCGTCAGGGTGCTCTACATTCTATACACATACATGTCAATGTCAATATGCATATAGCATATATATATATATACATACTTTCCAGGCTAGATCGATCCTGCAGGTATTGCAAAAACCTGACATTGGCCAGGGCTCCTCAGGCAGGTGGAAAATATGAACACGGCCAGCACCACCTACACGCTTGTCCCGCAGCTCGTCATTGAGAGCTTTGTGGGAACCTTAGACAGCGTCCATTTGTAAGCAGTACAAAGTACAACATTATTCAGAAGCAATACGGAGGTATCACATAAGAAGTATTGCTTTGATAAGTTAAGGTGTTGCCTGAGCTTCTGTCAGAACCGCAGGTCAACGAAGGGAACATGATATTTGAAGCTTATATATATATATACATATTACATGCTTTTGAACGGGCCTAGCGCTTTTTCGGGCCTCATCCACACTTTCAACATAGCTGAACCTACCCAAAAGCTGCATTGACACGGTTATCACTTATCGCTTTTCAGGGAGGGCTATCACTTTTCCAGCTTCCAGCAAACCTCCTATTTCAATCTATTTCACTACAGTTCTGTACTACCCGGTCATCGCTGGTTTTGGCGGTTGCTCACAAGAGAAGCTCTGGCCAGGCTCAGCTCCTTGCCGTACGCATAGTAGTAGTTCCCGATGTTGGTGCTAAGGCCACTTGAAGCGTGCGGAGTGTGTACAACATGGTCCCCAACCTTCCACTTGGCAGCAAAGTGGAGCAAGCCATGCAAGCAAGAATCACCGTACCAACACTCCACACTTCTATCAGCAATGCCTTGGAAACCAAAACACTGGCATGCAACAAACCGATTCACCTGCGCCCACCACTTGCCATCGCTGAGCAAGGATGTTGCTTCAGGGTGAATCCGAGGCAGCTCAAAGGCTCTCGTGAGAGCCAACAAGAGCGCTGCTAGTCGCATGGAGTTGAGTACCTCATTAGGAAAATCTTCCATGATACAAACAAAAACAGCTGAGTCTGGATTGAGTGACTAAATCAAAACGCAAAGAAACGGACTCGCCAAGACTCGATTAGTGAGGAAGAGGCTGGGCACCTCCTAGGCTCTGTACAAGTGTTCCAAAGTTTTGAAGGGGTAAGAGCTAACAAGTAAGCTAACAAGTATTCAGTAAGTAAGAGGTACGTAAGAGGTAAAGAAGTAAGAAGCTAGACAAAAAGAAAAAGAAACAAACAACTTAGTTAACTTAGCTCAACTACAGTAAGTTACTAGCTACTACCAGAGATGCACTCTCTGCTCAGGCTTCACCAGCTGAGAGTCGCACTGGAACGTAGGTGGTTGCGGGTGAGCCGAACAGGATGCACGCTCTTGATCAGCATGACTACGAAAAAAATAGGCAAGTCAAACGCTTCTCCGAGCCGAGGTGAAAAAAAGATCAGAACTGTAGCTTAGAAGAAAAAAGATGGAGCAAAGGCCAAAACTCTCCTATCACGCGCGATTCTGCCTGTCAAAAGTCTTCATCAGCAAACTCCACGTGTCTCTCGCGCACGCTGACGTCTCTTCTGTCGGCTCAATGTTCTTTCTTTCTCTCCTGTCCCATTTCATTGCCTGAGGGCTCCAGGCAGCAAGAGTGGTTCTTTCAGACCTGCCAAAAGAACAGGGCCTCAAGGAGAGCTGTGCTTCAAACAGAGCTCTCGCAGCTGTATCTCACAAGCATTATGCGTTGTCCTTTTCTGTCTGCTTTTTCAGGACCTTTATATAGACCTGTCTTTTGTTCCTGCGTTTGATAGAGTCTTTTGATGTTCATCCTCCATATTTGCACGATTTATCTGCCAGGGGTTGCAACCTTCAAAGACAGGACACTACATGTCGTGTTTTTAGCTCAGATATGCTTTCTCCCTCTGCTCTCCCGTTTCTGTCTGTTGTCTCTCTTCATCTGCCTGGGCCTGTCTATGTCTGTCCTCTATCAGTATCAGTCACACCCTGAGCTCCCAGCAACCTGGTTGGCCAGCTTCGACAGCTCTATAGCACCCTTTAATGGGCATCGCCATGCCATGAATTTAAGCGTTGCTGATGCACTGGTGAGGATGCTACTGTTACAGTACTTGGCACATTCAGCCACAAGAATTGAAAATTGAAAACGCTTGACTAATTCATCAATCTGTGCAGACTTCTTTTTCCCAAAGATTTTAAGTGCGTTGTTCTTCTACTCAAAGGGCACCATCCACCGTTGTCAAAATCTCTGAATGTGCTGAGCAATTGTCAGAATTCACCTCTGGAAACACGGACTAGAGAATCAGCGCGACATAATTGAGGCGAGCTTTTGCGTCCCCTTCACGTATGCTCATGCCGGGGAGAAAACGAACGAACACTCATGCTCTGGCATGCTGCTTAAGGATAGGTGAGCACAGCCGAGCTGGGTCACACTCATCCTGGCACAAAAGCTGAAAATGCTGAAGTGGCTCTGGATATCCTAGAATCTCCTCCAGAGACTCCGGATCTTTGCAGAGACATCTCTGATCTGCCAGTGAAACCAAAATCGAATTGTTGGGATTTCCGTGGGTTTGCACGGCAACGAATGGCGACGATCCACTCCGGCCAGGGTGGTATCGAAAAAATCACAGCATGAGCTGATCAGAATGCTGTGCCTCAAAAATAAATGAACAAGCGACCGAGCAAATTGCTTCAAGTACAAGATCTTCTTAGCCTGCAAGGCCCTTGTGGTCCGCATAAGACTCCATTCTCGGCTTCTTTGCCGCAGGCATATTTCCACCTTGCGGATGAGGGTTCTCAGACTCAAGTGTGTGTGTGTGTAAGAGTGTGTATGTATATGTACATTTTGTAATATGTATATATATATATGTGTGTGTGTGCATGTGTGTGTGTGTGGTGTGAAGAGAGAGAGGGGGAGAGAGAGAGAGAGAGAGAGCGGCGTACACATGCTGGCATTCAGCCCGACCTTCCCTGTCCGCAAATCGAGTTGCAAGACCATCACAGTTGATGCCAGTCATTGCCTGGAACTTGATTGGTGAAAAAGCATGAAGAAGCACTGACAAGGAGAACATTGGACAGTTATATAATGCTTGCACAGACAGAAGAGAGAGAGAAGAGTCCGAGCAAAGGCCTCTCCCAAGTCTTCGGACACTTCAGCAATCACCTTCGTGAAAGTCGGAAATTCCAAAGGTGCCGACAGTGCTGCCATGGTGCCGAATGTGGTATTGACTCCAACCTGGGGGTCTTTGAAGTGGGTCACCGCCTGCGAGGCGCTCCCAAAGCTTGTCCAAATATCAGCTTCTTCATGTTTCTTCACATGCGTGACTGTTGCCGCTGTTGCCGTTGCCTGGGTCTAAAGTTATGGGCTCAGTTGGAGTAGAGACATCTTATTCAAGCATCACACTCCTCACTACGTACTGCAGGAGTAGTGGCGCAAACATCTGTTCCAATCTTGGAAGGCCGCCTTCACAATAGCACGTGCTCGCTTGGCAGGATCTGAGGACTTGAAAATGCCGCTGCCTACCTGACCGAGTAACTCCAAAGCAAAGTGTGATTACGAGCCTTAGCCGGTCGACCTGTCCTGTCCTTCTCTGAACAGAAGGGGATGGCTTGGCTGCGCTGGCTTTCAGACCAAGCGCAAAAGAAAAATGAAAACTGTGAGGATATAAAGAAAACCACTTAAAGCTGACATCGTCAAACCCATTGTCATTGTCATGTTCATCATATCACCACCACCACCACCACCACCACCACCAGCAGCAGCAGCAGCAGCAGCACCAGCACCAGCAGCAGCAGCAGCATCATCATCATCATCATCTAAATCTACCCACTATCGAAATGAGCTCCGGACAAAAACACCGTCAACTCCAAGCTGCATGCCTCAGTTCAAACAGTCAAAGAGGTTTTTCAAAAAAAGATTACCAGTCGGACGCAAAAAGGGCTTGGATTTCTTCAGGATGCCCTAGGAACCAAACCGCGAACCGCAAACCGAACTGGAAAGAAATCAGTTTGCATAAGACCGGTATGAAACACGAACCGCTTGGAACCGTCGCCAACAGAACCGAAATCGGCCACAAACCGAACCGGACAGCAATGCTTCTCTGCTCCGGCTCAGCAAACTTTTTGGGTGCCTTGTCTGCACCAACTCTGAACAGAGTCATGCCGCTACAGCTGGCACCAAGCAATCTGCGTGTTTGGCATTGGTTTGAAGCCGAACGGGAAAGAACGGCGTCCAAGAATTGAACTCGGCAACTCATTGGTTTGAATGTTTGATTTTTGGATCATGGTTTGTTAGCAAGCATCATGGAGAGGTCCTTTGACATGGAGGAAAGCATTGACATACTACAATTGATTTTCATACTGCTACTTCCTAACAACGTTTCATGTCTGGAAGCTTACCAAAATGATTCCTGTCCGTCTGAAAAAGACTTTGGGAATCATGCCTTTCCAGAAAACATCTGCGTTTGCCTTTGGTTCCTCCCATTCATGCTTTGGTGTTTGGGCCAGTAACTCCAAACCTCAGTTGGCGTGGCCAAAAAACAATCCTGCCGCGTTGCAGAAAAGTTAGGTGCACCGGCTTGAAACTTGAGGCCATTGGGAAGCCATGCCAAAAAGCATGTTCGCTCAATTTCGCTTACCAAAGGCAACTTGCGGACTATCTGTCCCACAGCCCTTCCAGATGTTAAATCCTTTTAAGACGAGCCCATAGATCATTGAATACCGAAAGCAAAATTAACTTCTGCTCAAAACGAATTGGGAGACTGAAAATCCCTTTGGAAATAGCCTGGTTCTGTCTGAGAGGTCAAGCAGCACTTCTGGCGGTTCGTTACATCAGCCAACCAAAAAACAAAACCTGCTTCAACCACAGGCATCGGCATTGCCACATGCAGCTATGAAGGCAACACGTGAAAAATCAAACAGGTTCTGAACACACAGAAAAAAGAGATCTGAACCGAAACGAACCGAACCGGTTCCCCTGGCGAGTCGAAACGAACCGGTCCCAGTTGGAACCGAAACGAACCGGTTCTTTGTGATAATGGAACCGAAACGACATCATTCCAGTTTAAGAATCCGAAGCGAAACGAAACAAACCGGAGGCTTCCTGTTTAAAAAATGAATACAGGGGCCCTTGACTTCTTTTTGCAGCTCTTTGTCTAATAGACAAGCTTGGCAAGGGGCTTCAGTGCGTCACACTTGGGGTTCTTACGGGACTTGTTAAGGTATGGGTGTGGTCAGCGGCAGATTCGGAAACTAGAACCACGGGAAACTAGGATTCGGAAACTAGGAGCGCGGATTCCGAAACTAGGATTCGGAAACTAGAACGGGTCTGAATCGGATAGTTTCTGAATCGGGTCTGTGAAATACGATCATGTCCACGCTACATCAACACAAACATGTCATTAGATCCCCACCCCACCCCCCCCAACCCCCAGTTTCTGAATCTGATAGTTTCTGAATCGGCCAGTTTCTGAATCGAGGGGACACCCGTAGTTTCTGAATCGGCCAGTTTCTGAATCGGGTGAGTTTCTGAATCGGGTTTCAGAGTCGCAAGTTTCTGAATCGTAGTTTCTGAATCGGAGCTAGTTTCTGAATCGTCTTCTGTTCTATGGGGGTGAACGCGGGTCGGCGCCAAATTTGATGATCCCTTACATCACAGCAGCATGCCTCGAGCTTCCGCTTTTGAAAAAAGTATCGGACGAAAACTTGTGCCAAGCGGTTGATTTCCTTGACTGCGCTCTCATTGTGGAGACGTGCGCATTTTCGGACTTGGCCGTCCCTTTTGGTGGCATTCGCAAGGAATTGTGTGTGTGTGTGCTCTCTCATGTGTGCTCTGATGTGTTTGCTCACATATGTGTGCTCTCATGTGTGTCTGTGTCTGCGTGTGCTCTCATAATATGTGCTCTCACATGTGTCCTGCTCTGATGTGCTTGCTCGCATGTGCATGCTCTCTCATATTATGTGTGCTCTCATAT